ACTCTCGTTATATCGCCGCGTGAATGATTTTCAAGAATATTAGCGCCCCTCTTGCACCCTTAAGATCTAAGGTGATACATTTTTAATTTCCCTGCCCCTCTAAATGAGAGCTTGAAAAATTGAAAAATTGTCCTCCCAATATAACAAGACTACTGTATTTCTATTCAGAGCCGGCCCTGGGCCTAGGTAGACTAGGCGATCGCCTAGGGCCCCTCAAGGTCCAGGGACCCCATAAAACGATTTTGCATCTAAGAATGCAAGAAGAGGAATATTTACTTGAATATGCAAATCTAAATTAGTTATACAAGCTTTAATGTTAATTTTATAAATTTTATTTGAGCCACTTGGCATGCTAAGTGGTTATGGATCACTGATCGCGACTATTTTGAGAAAGATTCCCAAAAAAGGGGAGCCTATCTTTCATCGCGGATATATGCAAACTTCTATTGGAGTCACTGTACTGGAAATCTTTTCCAAATAACAGTATATCCCCCTCCTAGTACGTTCTAAGCAGATTTATGATACGTCAAGTGATATCAAGGACGATGGAGTATGGCGGTAGATTCTGGCGATTAGAAGGATAGGTGGTCGTTGGAGACGCCAGAGTTCTTCGTTTCCAGATCCTTCGGCCCGATTTGGATTTAAATTACAAATATTTTGCTTCGAAGCTTCCGGGTGGAAAATACTGCAAAAGTACCGTCGACAAAGTTGACCATAGTTAACCTTATTCTGCATTCCGGATAACGTCACTTTTTCCATAGGTTTTTCAAAAAGGACCGCAAGTAACAGCACTGGTCGCGAATCTACCAGGACTCAACGTAAGAAACTCGATGGAGCTGCGGCAATGTTTACCGACAGTAAGAAACAGACACAGTGATCACTCAAAGCGTGCGATGGACAAAAGTCCTAAGGAACTTGACTTCTCCTCGGACAGTATCTCCAATGGCTATCAGAAATCCAGGAATAAACAGAAACACCAAGGATTTCAGTTAACCAGATCGACAGCGAGTTTAGATTGCAAGCAAACGCAGATACAATCACAATTGCGTAGAAAACCACCGAGGGTTGAATCAGCTATGGAACAATTATCGAAAAATAGAAAGACCGGATCTCAGTTACAGTCTTTGGATTTTGATTCTGAGCCCACTTATTATCGCTTGCAGGTATTGTATTAATTTTAATTTTAATTGCCTTCCTATGAACCTCTAATATATTGCTTTTTATAATTTTTATATTTTTAAATTTCTAATTTTCAGATTTTCAGATTTACAAATTATAATATTACATGAACATTCTGCAGAGTTTATAGGAATATTATTTTGTTTTACAACTTTTTAGAAAAATAAAATAATCTATGACTCGAATTTCCAATTGAATGCTAGGATCGAAAGCGTTAATATTATTTAAGGAACATCTTTTACTTTTTCATTATTTCAGGACTCTCAATCAAGAGCATCAGAGAATTCAGACGCATCGATGATGTACAATTCTCAGGACACAAAATCAAGACCAGCACCGCCGAAGAAACCGCTTCGATTGTCTCTCCATCGTGCAGCAAGTCTGCAGTCAGTAGAAAGTGCACCACCAACTTCCGTCCACGATGTGACCAAAAAACCAACGAAAAGAAATCACAAAGGGGATCCACCCGAGAAAAGTCCAAGAGCTGATAAAAATGGAGAAACAAATGGTCAGACACAGGATTCGCAGTCTAATCCACCTCAGCCTCCACCGAGAACACCTTCAAGGGCGGAATCTTGTCAGAGTGCATTACGCTGGCCCTCCCCTAAACCGAGACCACATTTAGCATCCGTCCCCATGGAAAAATGGTGTTAGTATTTTCGCTGCCGTATAATTCCAGTCAGCGATTGCGAATGTGTTGACGTAATCCTGAGGGATAAACTGAGTGCTTGCATATTTATATTTTTACTAGTATTATAGCGTCGTTGAGCTGAAGCTGTTGAAGATCTCCGTTAAGATGGTATGTTTGTAAATATATAACACAATATTTTGATACTTGGTATTTAAAGAAGACTGAAGTATTTTGAATTAAATTTAGTAAGTATTAAGGATGTTTCAAGCATATTAATTTAGTATAAAATATTTTGGACGTGCAAATCTTTTTCAATAATTATTGGCGTAATTAAATAGGGGCCACGTTGGACTTGCCCCCCAGCCCCCCAAAGTTTCATGGATTTTAAAATTGCAAAATTCTAGATTGAAAATCCAAAATTCTAAATTTTTAAATTACTAAAATTACAAAATATTATTTAATTCTTTTTTCTGGAAAAAAAAATTAAAAGCGTCAACGTATGAGCTTAGGTTACATGAATATTTCGTACAAAGTACGTGAAACGTACATATATCTATATACTCATTAATTTAATGTATTTACCAGGGGAACTTCCCAAGTATTATGGATAAGTATAAGCATGTTTTTTTTACTTTTATATGGTAGAAATAATTTCAGTATACGTAAGCGTTGCAAATAGAATTTTTTTTGAAATTGCTAGTCGAAATGAGTACTATTATTTCTTCGGGTAAAATACTTTGAAATAAACAATTCTGTAATAGAAATATAGAAATAGTTTTTATTTTTAAACAATTACAATTTTTATAAATATTATTTTTAAGATTGTTTTGCTCTTTTACAAAGCCGAGCCAGAAGACTGTTCAATTGCAGTAAACTATTAATTCCGTCCACTATTCCTAAATGTGTTATTCCAATTTCCTGAAATTGAAGAATTTTAATTTTGCATGATATAAGTATTAATTGTTATGTACATACCTTTACAAAATCCAGTTTTAAAGTTTCATCTATTGGTATATTTTTACACACTCGGAATATGTTGCTAATTAAATCTTCCGCGGCATATCCCATTCTCCATAAATGCTGCATTACCTATTAATATTAAAACCTAATTATTGTATCAAATAAAAACTCCTAAAATTATTAATGGTGCAATACCGAGTATTGAAGCTATACAGCTGACACAAGGTATCTTACCATGTATGCTTTCGAAATATCACCCTGTGTACAATGTTCAAGCATTTCTTTGACGAGTAACGGGTGAGGTTCGTCGCAAACCTTAAAAACATTTTCGCTATTTACATGACCAAAACCATTATTCGTCGACTGTAGATTGTTCAGTGCTTGTCTCATGTCACCTTGTGCAGTAAATACTATTGCTTCTAAACCATCGTCCGTGTATGAAACCTGTTCAGATATATAATTCATCAATGATATAAATTTCAGTAAAAATTTGAAATTAAAAAATTAACTACTCCTATTCTCAATACTATCGACCGGGATCCGAACAATCGAATTTTCAATACCAACGCTTATCGATCGAATGACAAGTTCCAAAGTAGTGTAATGTACCACTAATCAACCCCAGTATTCAATCTGTTAATGATACAAAAGATTCTTGCATACATTTTCTTTCTCACAAACTTCAAGTATCTTTGCCAAAATTTGTGCATCTGTAAGCTTCCCATATCTCAACATAGCACAACGTGACTGTATTGGTTCAATAATCTTCTCACTGTTATTACAAGCTAATGCAAATCTTGTAGTATTACTATAAATTTCCATTGTTCTACGTAGAGCTTGCTGAGCTCCATCAGTCATACTATCAGCCTCATCCAGAATGATTATTTTATGTTTGCCTTTTTCTAGATTTACCTAATTTAAAAAAACAAAACACCTGAGTATTATAAGTTCTAAGAATTATAGACTAGATATAAGGTAGATTTACCCTTTTCTGTGCAAACATTTTGATCTTATTTCTGACAACATCTATTCCTCTGTCATTTGAGGCATTTAATTCTAATACTGCTTCTTTAAAGGCTGGTCCTAAAAGGATACGTGCTAGACAGAGGATTGTTGTTGTTTTTCCAACTCCTGGTGGACCAGCAATGATAATATTAGGACAGTTGCCATTCTTGGCAAAGACAGCAAGCCTTGACACCGTGTCTCCATTTCCAACAATATCAGAGAATGTTTGGGGCCGGTACTTTTCAATCCTACAAATGTAGTAAACATAACCTCAATTTTTAAACCTTACTCTAAAATGAATTATATTATTCTTTATAATACTTGCCAGGGTAGGTTTGCAAATTTAGCAACTCTTTGATTCTTTTTTTCATTGTAACCGCTTGTTGATGGTAAAGATTCAACATCCATAGGTTCTTCGACAACGTCCGTGCCACCCATCTTTTAAATTCTAAGAAAACGCGGGAAAGTTCGATCCTGTTTAGTCTAAAAGCGTGTAGTAATAAGGGAAAACACATTTGTGTGATTTTTGAATAAATGGTAAGAAGTTAATTGTCTTATCGCCAAAAAGAGTAAAATTATTCAAAATAATTATTTTATTAGTTATTTCAATATTTATTACATCAAATATTAAATAATTTGTGTCTTTATTTCAAATATTCATATATGTTATTATTTCATAACCTAGAAGTCTGTAGAAAACTCTATTAGTAAGAATATTAGTGCTGGCTAAAATATTATTTGAAATAGTAAATAGACTATTCATTGTCGTAATTAGGATTTTGTTTTGGAGTGTGTCAGATACTTTAGAAGTTTAGAAATTTAGAAATTTCGGAAATTTAGAATTTTGAAATTCTGACAACTAATAGACGATATTACTTATAATATTTATGATACCATAGAATTTCAATTTAAAATATTAGGTGTATTTATTCATATAAACATAAATATATATTCTATTTATTCTTTAATTTAACAGGAAGGATCTGACAAATATCATTTAAAATTCAAAATATGATGACTTCCATGAAGATGGCGCTTGAGTCGGTCGATCACATCAGCAGTCAAGCGCGCCCCTCTTTCCTAAGCCTCTTGTCATTGGCTCAGGGAATGAGATTCCAATATGGCCGCCGTCGTGATATCTGCACGAGTCAGTGTCGCGGAAATGTTTTGAACTCGTTGAGTAATCGCGACAACCGGTCGACGTCCAACGCATAGGTTAGTAAGAGTAACCAAACTTGACGTATTTTCATTTGAAATCGTATCGTTGAATTCGTGTCAATAAAGCGTGTATCCGTTTTGCTCGTACGGTTGCTCTCAGTATACAGTATACAGTGTCCGACCGCAGTATTCCCTTCGATGCAGGTATAGGTTACCTGCTTTCTTCTTAATCCGTTGTCCCTCTCATTTTCGGCTTACCAAGTATGATTGTATGTCTGATGCGTGTACGATTTCTTTATATGTGTGCGTGTGTGTGGATGCTTGAACGTGTGCGTCGTGAATTTTATCTTTTCGTCGCGCGTGTTTTGAACGGGAAGAAAGAAGAATCTTTGACACATTACGCCATGCTGTCTACCCTCTGCGTACGGAACAGTTACATGGAAGCAACGTTCGGTAAGTTCTTACTTTTCTTTCATTTTTAACCTCTATCAGAGCATTCGGTAGTTCGAATATTTGTCAGATGTATTTTTAAAGGTTACTGTCTTACTACAAGGTTATAGTGTATTAGGTGTAGGAATAAATTATTGAAAATTGACTTCAGGTAGTCAGTACAGACATTTGAATTGAAGTATTCTCCCGCTCTTTTGACGTTTTGTACTTGTTGTTAGTTTACATTACATCGCACCATAACCTTACAAAGAATAGTCAGCATAGACAAATTAATGAATTCATTGTCAGTAAACAATGTATTTGGCACTGTATTATTGTTTGCGTTTAATGTAGGGAGAATTAATTGATATTATTGAAGTTCAGAAATTTCGAAATTCGAGATGTTGAGAATTTTTAAATTCTGAAAATTTAAATTAAAGATTTAGAACTTCGAAATTTGCATGTTGAAATTTTTAAACCTAAAAATTTGAGTTTTGAAACTTTGTATTATCTATAATAATGGAGTTGTAATAAAAAAAATGTTCTGGAAAGAACAATTTTGATCTTAAAAACCAATTATGTTCTGATTAGTCTGTAGAAGGTTGAAAAAAAAATTTAGAGAATTGGGACTTTTGAGTGACATATGGCCTCTTTAAATATTCATTTATTTGTTTAAATCACGGTAACATTACCTGGCAGATGTACAGTTAAAATCAGTTGACAAATGTTCGAAGCAGCTCGACGAATTTATTGATTCAAAACCGCCAAGTTTCTATCGCAACTGTATTCGTAAGATGCCAGAAAAAATGGCGAAGAATTATCAGTGATATAGTAGAATTTATGTATAGATTGTTTGAGTGTAATCTGTCTTAATAACTAGGAGTCGACGTGTTGATAGTAATTATTGATATATTATTGGGATACTGTTGATAATATTATTAAGGTTAATGGGAGTGTCTAGAGCAGAATGTACAGTACCGAGCACGGAGGCTTTTCTAGGGAAAATGCTGATATAAGGGACCACTACACTCTAAAATATTTCAGAGTTATTAGACATGAAAAATAAATTACATTTTGTAGTTTCAAAATATCGAAATTTCAAAGTATCAAAATTAAGATGGTAAAGTTTTAGAATTTCAAAATTAAAATTTTAAGATTTTTAAATCAGGTTTCACCTCACCGCGAAAAATTTAATAATTTTACGCATTTTCTCCTGAATGCGTTGTTCTATTTATTTCGGTATGTCGATAATCATTTCCGCTTGTTCTTGATATTCGACGTATATTGGATACTTTGAAAGTACGTCATTATTTATTTCTGTTTATCTCGCTTCCTTTTAAACGCTTTTTGTTCCAGTGATATTAATACAAAATACAAAATTAAGTTCAAATTGGAGCTCTCGTGGTCTGCTTAATTTTATAATATTTAATGATTAAAAGTCATATTATTTTGTTTCTGAATCGTTATTAATAATCATATCATAAAAATTAAGATTTTAAGAATTTCTGTTACCCCTGTAACCCTATTTTCCCTAGAGAAGCCTACTTTGCTCGGTACTGTACAATTATGATTATATATTTTCTCGACAAATGTAATACAAAGTATTAAGTATTTCGAAAAGAATTTTTGTTTTAGAAAATGATTAGTTTAAAAAATTCACTATCGTGGAATTTCTAATATTCTAATGCTATTGTTTAAACCGTTACTCTCCCTTCCCGCCACACTGTAAGATTATAATTACGGTGCATTTTGCGTCGCATAGAATGTGCTCCATATTCGCCCTGAAAGCATCTATTCTCTGCTTTTCACCGCTGACACATTCCATCGCGAATTTCTCAGATTATATCGAATAATTACAGAATTCTGGTATCATTTCTGTACACTTCTTACATCACAGAAGCTCGGAAATTGGGCTACCACCGTTCATCTAATTTATCTTTGTCGAAACATTGAGCAATTAAATGTCTGATTTTGAGGTTTCTATAATATTCAGATACCTTAGAATGTAGCAACTTATCTCAGCAATTATAATACTTAATTAAAGTGTAGATTAATAACGCTCTGTATACAGCGAATTCAAAGAAAATATAATATTATCAATTTTAGGGGCTAATTAAAATAATACATGAAATTCTCACTTGAATAAAAGAAAGGAGAGATATTGATGAGATATATCTATTCCTTTATTACGTTTATCGATTACATGCTTATCTCACAAATGTTCATTTAATACCGCCTATTGTAATCGAATGGAATAATAAACGATAAATAACCTTTTATCGGGCTATCGATGGATCATGTGTGCATGATAAACAGGGAGCGATAGATTTCTGTGATTGAACGTTCTTTAGAAAGATATTTTAGAAGCTGAATGAACAGCTTGTGAAATTATATTAATGATATCCTTTATGGTTCAGAGAAGTTATGCCAAAATTTCATTAAATCCTTTCAATTTATATTAATATCATTAAATCTGGATCACAATGCCAATATTGTCTTCAGGATTGCTTTTCATTAGCATACAATAGATAATAATTATATATTATGAATTTTCCTTACAATTACAGTAGAGGTTTCGAAAATATATCAATACACCTTGAATTTGAATAATTAGTGTTCTCTCGGTAGAAAATCATTAGTGTAGGAATTATGAAAAAAATGCGGATTTCCTCTCGGGATTCGAACCCCGATCCTCAGGGTGGTAGTCACGTACGCTACCAATTATAACAATATATACTATTATTGCACCTTACCTTCTACACTAAAAGAAGTTATAATAGATTCCTATTATAGAATTCAATTATTATTAGAGTGGAATTAGTGGGGTATCTTAAAATTACCTAGGAACTTAGGATTCCTTTGGTCTATAAATAACGATTTATTGCAATTGCAATGTCTTTAGAATGTCTAGACTCTGTACCTAAAAGAGGAAGCACGTGGTCCGGCGCTTTCAAGGGGGGAGAATAGTTAATAAATTTGAACCTCTTTGTATGCTAATTTTGTCAGCCGTATATATACGTGTTTGCTCGCTAAACTTGGTATTGTATCTTCACTGTATAATAACACCCATTAACCCTTCGTTGTATTGTTTCGCAAATACGCCACGAAATACGTAGTACAGGGTCACTTTGACCCGTAACAATGGGTACTATAATATGTACTATTCGTGTTGGGTTAAAAGGACCCTTAAGTTGGAATCATTTTTTCCTTGAACCTTTCATACACGTTTAGTCATTCTTGGAAGAAGTTGTAATTAGCATAAAAGCTTCTTGAGGATTGTTTCACACTTTCTAATAGTAGAAGGAACGGATAGATGGTAAGCAGCCAAATGACGATATAGATTGAACGAAATCTTTAGTTGCACAATCCTTGCGACCGAATCTGCAGATCAACTATCTTGGCGCTATTTCGCATTGCGCCATGTACACTTTCGATCAAAAGTTTTTAATATTCTTCCCTTTTTGGAAAAAAATAAATTTTCTAACCGGTATATTGTAGTTTCATATAAATTGCATATTGCACTTCTAGATAATGTTGTTGGGGTAAAGGGAGACCTAAATTTACAAAACATATATAAGTATATTAATCTAAAGTTAAATGTATAATTTATAAACGAAAAAGTTTTACATATTAGAGGAATAATTTTCCGAGGAACTGGAAATTAAATTAAAATTGGGGCTCTCTCCGTGATCCGCCCGAGGGTTAACCACCCACCCACTCACCTTTAACCCTAAAAAGACTCGTCAAGCTCGCCATTTAGAAAATGTTGAATATATATTATTTTTCTCATTTAAAAAATTTGCAAAAAATCATTTATTTTTCCCTGTGTCTTCAAGATCGGTACTAGGAAAGAAATTTTGAAATTTGAACGCAAAAATTAAGCTCGATCGTGTTAACAAGATATTGCGACACGATTTAATTAAATTAAATGAACTGTACACCTCTTTGCAGCGCGTGTTAAAAGAGGTTGCTTACAATAAATTATTTTTATAATTATTTATACCTATCACCTTGACCTTTTTCTTCAATGGGAAGGCAATACGGTGGAGGAAGACTGCTTTATCTCTCGCATTACAAGGTTGTTTATTAGGTAAACTTGCAGTGTACATGCAGTTGGGTTACGCTCGTGTGCTCGTAAAAATTGAACACGTGTATCCGTGATAAATAAAAAAAAAATACTTAAATTGCTGTAGGAAAAACGATGAATTAGCTGAGTATCTCCATCCCTACATGTTAATTAAAATAGTTTCTATTACTTGTGTAATTAAGCTAACTGCTTCAGCTAAAAGCAAAAGTAGCTTTTTTTTTAATGAAACTACCAGTATTAAAGTAATGAAAAAATTAAAAGTGATAATAATTAATAAATAAATGATTGAATATGTAAATGTTTAAAATTTTTGAAAAGGAGAAAATATTAATATCAGTGTTTAAAAAAAATGTTATTTATTATAAAATTATTTCTGCTATCAAAAGTGTATATTTATTTTAATAAAAAGGGTAAATAAACTTAAAATATCTCGCAACGTATTGATTTTTTTTTCTTTTTTTATTATAATACTTCAGTATTTGTTTAGTTTGTTGATGGATCACTGTGTTCTTCAGAATCATTCTATTTAATATGTAGTGATCATTTTATTAGTAATAGAAAATTAGGGAGATACTTTGCAATTCTTCGACAAGAAATTTTTGAGACCAACTTACATTCGGTTAGTAGTTGAATTTAGTAACCTCTGTCTACAGCCTCCTATCCGGCAATATAACGAGAGTTTACTATC